TCTACGCGTGGCCACTGGAGAAGTTGGACATCTCGAGGCTAACATGAGGTCTCTTTTTAAACAGCCGTAAAATAATCAATCATCCCCTTCACCATGACCGTCTAGTTCAAGGGTTTGAAATACACGGTTTCATTGTGAAAGCGAGCACATTGATAACTACAATAGCCAGCGGGGTAGATTTCAGACCGCCGCCAGAAGTGTCTGCAGCGGGCCACCGCTGTGTTTTTGATTAAATGAATACAACCTGAAGAGGGCTGACCCCCAAATCTAGACTGCAACTGAATGAGACTGTGTGCATCCGATCGCCAAACCCAGTGTCCTAATCAATACATCTACATGCCAGCTGAGCCAAGTTAAGAGTAGGAAATGAGACGTCAATGACAGTCGAAAAATATGAGACATTGTAAACGTGGGAAATCGATCAGCAATTAATGCTCACGCGAAACATTAACCAGTTTAACGCAGCTGTGCGTTTGGGAATATCCGTGGACAGAAACACAGAGGGGGGCACGCACAAACACTGACTCACACAACCACACACTCACATACACACCAATGACCGAGGTCATTATCTCATGGTGGAGAAATGATAATATTCCCAAAAGTCCATATACTGGGCCGGGCATGCAGATTCATTTGTTACCGTAGAAACAACGGTTTCTCAGTACAAGTGGAACATACTTGGTGTTTCCAAAGCAACCAAAATATTACAAATGAATGAAAAAATATCCGTCAGCAATCCCATCATCAAAGCCTTTTTTTCAACTGAACTATTATTTCACATTTTACTAAGTTAATCAAACCTGTCAATGAATAATTAAAAATGGGTTGAATTAAAAGCAGCTTCAACGCAAATCGTGATATTTGAAATTATCACGTTCAGAACATAATCTCAACATTTTTGTAATGTTTTGGTGTCATTTATAATTCTCATTTGATTGCTCATTTGCTGCTCTTCCTCTTCTCCTTTTCCAAATGATTATTATTGTCTCTTTTTTTAAGGTTATTCTTTTGTTTCAGTTTAGTTTAATTAAATTTTTATAATTTAATATTTTAATCTTATTATATTGTATATAATGTGTATCTTTTTATTCTATTTTCTTCCCTGTACATGATGCTGTGATACCAAAATTTCCCTCTTGAGGGATCAATAAAGTATCTATCCTATCTATCTAAAGGAGTTTTAAATCAGGCGCGCACACTGAATAACACACCACTGTGCTCATTGGAAGGTTCTAACTGTTGAACATAAGAGGGCATCTTTGAACAAGATGTCTATTGCGTATTTATCCCTTTTTAGGCTAGTTTTAATCATGAAAGGTGATGTGTTTACATGCTCTCCTGTTTGAACGTAATTTTAAATGTCAGGGGGTTGTTGAAATTTTAAAAGCAGATGAAATCTACTTCCCTTTGGCTTGGGCGTAATTAATGATATGTTAAATTGCATGAAGGAGCTGATAGCGGTGAGTTTCAATACGACGTGAAAAGTGAATGTAACCACAACAGTTTTTTAAAGATATGCCTTCGGGAGCTCGCCTCTGGCTGACGCTGACATGTGAGGTTAAATGTTTTTAAAGGCAAACTGACAGGCGACCCGATGGAAAGCCTGATTGGTACTTGGAAAGAACGGCTGTAAATTAAACGCGTAATCAGATGGCAAACCGCAGGCAGCCAGCCATACTTCCGTGGATTGAAAAAGAGAATCCAGAGGCTGAGAAGCAGAAAGTCAGTTATCAGCCTCGGCAGCAACGGGTGATCTGAATTTGCTGTCAGGATTAATGTCATCCCCACATTTTGATTCTGTCCGCGTCTTTTACTTTATGACTGATTATTCAGATTATTCAGAGTGTTTTCTTGGGGGGGGGGGGTTATCTCTGTGTGCCTTTTTCTGTACGGGGAAACCTCCAAGGTTTGTAGGTTTGTGCAGCTCCTACGCGAAGGAGAACCAACTTTATTGCGTGTGAATCACAAAACATTTTAAGGGAAGAGCGGACGAACACTGGAAGTCTACATAGCTTTTACCAAATTTTCCACTTTGCAAATTGGCAAACTTCCACTCCCTCTATACATAAACAAGTTTTAAGGCTTAATTGCTTTCAAATTAATTACTGTTGTGCCAACAATAATCAGGTGTTCGATGCTCTGCAGTTCAAACAATTGCTATTTGAGGGGTCAGCGCTATCGCGGATCTTACCAAAGGGATATTTGTTTTTTTTCTGTGGAACAAGTAAGGCAAGTTGATGAATACTAAAAACAGAAATTCCAATTATCCTAGGATTTATTTCTCTTTGGATAAAAGTATGGGTGGCAGAGGCATGTCAGGGCAGAATGACAGGAAGTCGCGGGTTATCCAATTACCCCACATTGGGTCAGAGAGAAAAGTACGGGTCAAACAAAAGGAGTCCATCAAAAATGCAATTATGGAGGACATGAAACAGCCAACAGATAAGCTTGTGTCCCAACAGTGAGCTACTCTAACAGCACAATTGATACAAAAGAGCACAATGTTGGCGCCTGAAAAAAAATGGTCATTAACAAGAATGAAGAATATATTGAATTACAGAATATGGAATAAAGTAGAGCGACAATCATATTGTACATGTTTGTATGACTAGTACGATGTGTAGAAATTACATTACAAATAGACAAATCAATTACAAATCAACTGGAATGTGCTCTATGATTCTTTTGAAATTTGAAAAACGACAGATATTAAACCCCAATGTCTACATGGCCCGGCAACTTTAAGATTTTAGAGAATGAAAAAGCTTAAATGAAATATGGACGTGATGAATACAACTTGGATCTATAAAGGTTCCACTGCAAGAGATTTGTCAATGTCAACCAAGGGCCGTTATGGATGAGGGGACACAAACTGTTAGTAGTACTACACAGAGGACATTTCTTTATCAATAGCGACCCAAAAAGACTTGTCATGCAGGTCGCAGGTAAAAAGCAATTACACATTTACGGCATTCAAGGCGGATAGAATGCAGCCTAAAATAACTTTTCCTGAGGATTTCCTAGCATCAGGATCTAAAAGCAATTCATTTAGAGTGTTCTCAGCGCTATGTGTTGCTCTAAAATCATCTGAATGAGCAATACGTTTTTTTCTAATGCTCACTATTTTGGCTGACGTGGGACATTTTGCGACTTTGTTGTAGTACCAGTCCATGATGGAATGCATGAACTGGAGAGAAACCATACCAATTGTTTTGCACTGGTGTTTTTAAACTCCTCTGATGAGAGCTGCATTCAGGTAAATGTCTGGTGGAGATGCTTTCAATCATTTCACGTCAAAAGAGTCTGCAGATCGCGCATCCCAAAATATGTAGTGCTGGATCAGATAACAAGCAACGGCAATGGTAACTTTCAGATTAAACATCTGCACACTGAACTCGTAGCTAACTTTAAAAGGCATTGAAGACGCCTGTGTGGGTAGGGGAAGGCTGTATAGGGGGCTTCAATACAATATTCAACAGTTCCCTCTGAATCCAAACTTATCACCCACTCAAGGTCAATGCCGTTTTTTGCCCCTTGCCCTGTGCAATTCTTTTTTCTGCTTTCTTATTTCGCTGTGTTCTGGACAAAGAGCATATGGATCGTTTCGAGGGCGAACTCTGGCGCTTTTTTATGTCACGCTCTGAACCTGGTGCCGAGCGGCAAAGGAAACGGTTGTTACATCGCGGTGTGCTTTGATGTGCTTCTGTGTGCGTTTCCCCTCCTTTGCTGTGTGGCGCCACATCGGACCGTCAGTGCAGAGGGAAGCAGCACGGGCCCCAGCAGGAGGACGCTCGGCCTCGGACTGCATTCGTTGGGAAAAGCAGCTGGATGGAAAGGTTAATTTAGCCGAGTTTGGTCAAAACAAACGTTCAGATTTGCATTAAATCCTCCAGCCATCATGGTGCAGGTTAACTGACCAATGAGAACTAAAACAGACTTTTAATCCCGATTCTCAAGTCTGAAAATTATTGAATGTTCCTTTTAAAGTGCACTGCCCAGGTATTGGATGGGAACAATGGGCAGTTAAGATCCGAGGGGGACCCATGCAGAAAGACTAGAGAATAAAAATGTGTCATATGCTTCAATGTGAAAGTTGTTCAATGATTTCAATACTGAGTTTTAAAAAAATGAAGGTGTAATGTTCCTCCCAGTGCTCTACTTGTTACGTTCTAATTGTGGCTTTGCGGCGATGGCTGCAGCATCACAGATGCTACGTTGAACACTGAGCGGCGCGCGTTCTTTGACTTTTCTAAAAGCGAAAGCCATGCATATGTGGAAAAATACCTTCAGCGGATGGCTTTGACTGTGCTTACAGGATGGACTAATTGATACCTGTAACCCTGCGTTACGGTTCAAGATCTAAATGCGAGCTATGATTTTTTTTTTTCGGACATGTAGGAGGAGTGAAAAGTCATTACGTTTCTTTGCGTGTGCCAAGTAATTTGCTTTTGACCACATACTGGAAGCTGAATAATTTCTGTCATGAAACGCCCCCCCCCGACCTCCCCCAACCTTCCAATAACACTTGCTTTGTGAGTGGGCGATAACAGCCACTGTATGATGACACTCATTTCAGTCAATGACACTGCTTGAAAACATTAATTGCACTGATAACCTCCCACACGCCCAAATTACATTGACAAATACAACAAAGTTAGAAATGCATTTTCTAGATGTGATCTAATTGATTTAATCTATTGGATGTTGGCGAAGGTGGAAAATACCCTTCACAAGAAGGAAAAATTGAGAGCTGAAGCAGCTTTTTGCTGGAGAGGAGGAAAGAGAGGAGACAAAAGATCTTTGGAGGATACACAGTAAGTGTGTGTGTGTGTGTGTGTGTGTGCAGGTCTGCGTATGCATGTGCAGTGTGGAGAAAAAGAGGGGGTGTGTTCACTTGGAGACTGCGGGGAAAGGCTTATTAGAAAACCATCCCTCTAAGCCAATGGTTTTTAAGAGAGAGGCAGATGTCATTTGACTGAGAAGGACCACCTCCCACAGCCAGCACATCCCCTTCAGTGTAATGCAGCGATGTGTGAGAGCACCGCTGCCACTGTTCTCTCCCTCCTCTTTCCCTCCGCGTCCACAGACACTTTCCTCCCCTTCTCTCGGATTTCTCTTCCTCTCTTTATCTGCGCTCATGGTCCCTCTCCTCTGCCCTCCCCTGTCTTTGCCGTCTCCCACTCCTCTCCCTCCTTCTCTCCGGCTCTGTCCCGTAGGCTGAGGTGGGATCTTTATCACACAGCGGCGGCCACACCAGCAGCCCAGGTAAGATTTGTGATTCATTCACTTTGAACTGATGGGTTTTAATACTGAGAACATTTTTTAAAAAAATACCTCAATGACTGTTCTCCATGAACACAAGTTGATACCTCTGGATTTGCACTTTCTCCTCGCTGTGATTTGGTCGTGATACATTTTAGCCAGAAGTCTGATTGCATTAAGGAAGCTTATGTTAAGTTGTTTCATACCCAAGGCACTAAAATGTGCCGTTTGTGAGCCCTTTGTGAGCTGTGAGCAAGACAACTTCAGGAGTCTGTCATGAGAATGTCATTGCATGGAGGACCACAGATCCAATCACAGATAGACTTTGTGCAGTCACAGAGATGCGGAGGGAGAGGGAGACGGCAGTGGAAGCAGACAAATGTGGGAGAACGGATGTTCCCGATAGCAGCTGGCGGCAGGAAGTCAGAAAAGAGTTACGGGAGCTCAGGTGCTCTTTCACAGATCAGCAGGTGACAGGTGGACTCTATCGATCTAAACTAAGCTGAGTGTAAATCTCTGGTACAATTATGGGGGGAGTTTGGATTGGACTCGGTGAAGCCATCCTGCTGTTTGGTGCGAGGATAAAAGATGAAAGACAGTTGCTGTCATCCACATATCCTCTTTGTCTCCAGACGCGTGCAGCACTTTTTGCTGCTCTCTAATTGACACCACATGACACACTGCGAATCCGTTTGCAACATCGCGAGCAAATGGAGCAAAACGAGTTCTCTTTTGAAACGAATGTGTGAATTTGTGTCTGAAGTAGCCATCTTTTCTTGTCTCTGTCATTGAGGAGATGTACTAATGAGGTCGAGATAATGCACGAGCAACGTTCCGCCTCTGGAGTTTAAATAAACAATAGCACCATGAACACTCAAAATTCAACAGTGAAGCCCATTAGTGTCACTTGAATCGTGTCTTTTGGGGGGGCCTCGGCTGCTGTTTGCCACTAGAATAACTCGAAGGAGCCTTATTAGAAGGCTTTGACATTAATGATTGATGTAGTCATCATTAGGTCGTTGAAAGGTGTTTCTTGCTGATAAGTAATCTCTGAAGCTCGCGTGTAGCTAATATTTTCTCATGGAGTGATGCGTATCGCCCCCGGTCTGCGGCGTGAGAATATTTATCACACTGATGCATTTAAATGAACTCCGAAAATAGCTCAAAGCTAAAGTTGCGTTAGGTCTCATAAGTAATACAGAGGTGTCCTTATATTTCATTCATGACATAGTTTGCAGCATGCTCTTGGGACTTGGGAGGGGAAATTAGGAGAAATGGCATTGTGATGTGAAAAGACACGAGGGCGGTGAGAGGACCAGAAAGCGGAAGCCGAAGCGCCGCCTGGACTTTAATTGTGCCGCCCCCCTTATTGCAACTTCTTCATTTCCACATCACGGCCGCCGTTAGCGGTTTTGAAGCATCACGCCGTTCGGTGGCCACTTGTCTGCACGCAACTTTAACGTTCTTTAATTCACACCCATGCAGAGCAGAATATTCATTTATCTGGCATCTTGTTCAACGTATAGGAAACAATGCGCTACCGCTACCTGCAGCGAGAAAGGAAGCTGTCTCGGCTCCTCGCTCTGTCATTAGCGCCGCGTACGGCAAGAGGCCCCCGGAAAAAGAAATATCCACAATTTGAGGAAATTAGAGTCAGAGAAATGGAGGAAAGCCGGTGCCTTTTTCACTCCGCTGAGGGTTCTCCGTTGACAGCCGCACTCAGTCTTCTCTTTCTGGTGGTTGTGAGCTGCCCCAGGTGTGACAGGCAGCCGGAGTAATGGGGGGACGTTTGACAGATGCATATTTCCAGCCTTGAATGCTTCATATAAAGAAGATAGATGGCGTGGATTCGGGCTGAGCGGGGGGGGGGACAAACTGTTGTGGGCTGTGAATCACCCCAGTGAGTGCGCCGCCTCTCTGCTCGATTGATCCGTCACGTGACTCTCACGGCCCATCCGGGTCGCTAATTGCATCCCGCCCTTATTATTGATTGAAATATGAGGGTGGTGAATTGGACTCCGGGAGGCAGGCACACATCCACCGAGACCTTTTGGTCAAGTTACAGGCACTGTGGCTGCATGAATGAACGGTACGCGGTTTCATTTCTGGAAAAACAAACATTTTTCCAGTGTTTGTGTGTAACTGTTTATGGTAATTTAACTCCCATAGAGTCTCTGGGGTTTTGTAGCCTACTAATGTTGGAGACTTTATGTGATAATGAATCTTTTATAAGCCTATCAGGGCACATGGCCAGGATTCAGGGCCAAGATATTACATTTCAGGTTGTACAGAACTGTTGTACAGTAGAGTTCCATGTTTCTGGACAAATACTCTTTATCTGTTCGGAGAAGAGACAAGGGGAAGGAGATGTGGGGGGGATATATTTGTCTCTTGTGGACTAATTTCTTATTTAAAATTTTGAAATGGCTGTACGGGTCCATCTGGTGCTTCTAGTTATGGAGCATCTACACGTCCCTTTGCTCGCTTAATTAAATAGACGTTTGACTGATTGCGTGATGTGGTTGTTATCTTCATTTTTAATCATTTCATTGATGCAGAGTATGTAGAATAGTATACCATCTGGCCGTATTTTTTTTTATTGGAGTTATTGTTAACACGGACTAAAAATGAAAAGCAATGAATCCATCAACTGATCAAAAAATAAGACTAATAGTCTCTAGTCAAAAGGAAGATTTTCCCACCCCAAAAAGTTTTGTTAAAGAATCCAAAAAAATCATCCAATCCGAACCCCTAGTTGATTACTGACGGACTCTCCCAGTTAAGTTTTCAGACGGTTATTGTAACACTGAATACTTGACTGTTCTTTTTCACATTCTTCGACTATGGAGAAACGAGGTTGTGTTTGGCTGCTTCAGCTCTTTGGATCACCACATCACGTTTGTAAGATTGTGATTTCTGTTCAAAGCTTAAAACCTAAAATCCATACAAATCAAATTGACTTATTCATCAGTACAGATGTTGATATGCAGCCCATTGATCCCGAGTAACATGAGCAGAATGTTTGAGAACCGAATAGAGGACGAAAGATCCATTTCGCCCTTGTGGTATTCAAAATCCAGAGGACATTTGAATATGACCGCGTGGATTGTAATGATTAAGGACGTGAACAAGCTGTCCTAAATGGTCAACATTGGAAACACGGCAGCATTTCTTTGTATTGGCCGGGGGTTTATTTCAGGGTGTGAGCGTGGCCGTGTGCTCATAAGGTGATTAACCGTGATGGGAGCATCCAGGGATTCCTTGATCTCATTACCTCTGCTGACACGGGGCAGTAAAGCATCACGTCGACATCAAAAGAAGGTCGAATAACTTAAGCTGGACCTTCATGCTCACCACACTGACGTATCTATATTTGTGTGTCCCATTCATTTAAAATTCCTCATGTATGTTGTACTGTTCTAAAAAAAAAGAAGTTGAGTCAAGATGCTTAGCAAACATGTGCATGTCACCTATTTCCTCTGTGACACGAGGAACATTAACATCGGCTTGAGTCAAGAAATCCCACACGGGGGAAAACCTCTGTGATCAAACGTTTCCCTTGACATAGTAGCGTCATGTTTCATGCTTCTATCCTCACAACAGCCTGATGGGGAGCGGGAGGGGGGCAAAATCTGAAAGCTACTATTTGGGCGAAGAATCATTATGCTCAGCTCGGTTATTGCTACTTTGCTACATAGCTGCTCGGACACAAACACTTTTCCCAGAGTCTATTGAATCTACTGACCCGCAACACCGCAACTATTTCAATTACATTAGGCCCCAACCACCTCGGAATACAGATGCAGGAGCCTGAACATGCCCCGTCCCCAGGGGTCTTTGTCAGGTAACCAGCTTATTTGTTTGTAGCTCTTCCCGACTGACCACACAGGTCATTCTGGTGGTGTTACACAGCTGTCAGGCAGCTGAAGGATGCTGTGACAAAGGATGGTGGTTCCTGCCGTCAGCCCAGTGGCCTTTAGCTTGGATCTCCATCACCCCATTAACTTTGGATCACTGGCTGTATTCACTAAGTCTTCTTTTCACGTAATAGAATTAGTGCAGCTATACGCTTCCTGCTTGATGTTCTAACACGTCTTTTTTTTTTTTTCTCCGCCCTCCTAGACCTTCAGTCTCAATTGACTTGATCTTTTTTGTTATTCTCCTGCCGTCGGTGAGGTGTCACCAGTAATTACACCTAATGAGGGAAGAAAAGAGTTGCTCACCTGAAGAGACCACACGACCTGTGGTGAAAACATGCTGTTCTTGCTTTGGCTCTGATGGAAATGTGCAGCTGCGGTCGGTCTCGCTTCATGTGATGCCGCTTTGATATTTAAGGTTTCAGCACAGGTTTCCAAACGCTGGAACCCATGGAATCATAAAGGAAAGACATCACATGAGAGAATGTCACAAGTAATGACTGCCGGGTGGAACCACTTAGCTTCGCGGACTCAAACCGGAGAAGCGAGAGTATGGGGTGATCCCGGGGAGCTCCTTAAGAGCAAAGTGCTTTTGATTCACCGAGTCTCTTTTCAATGCCACTGTTGCGTCTCATCTGATGTACCATGATGAGTAGCTGCCTCCATTTGGAGATTACAAATGATATGAGAATTATGAGCGATATGCGAGTCATGAAGAATCCAATATTGTGCACCTGGTGTTACCGGGGCCCAAAGATGATTGCCCTTGGGTGAGCATCTCCTCCAATGCCTGGATATTTCCATGCATGCTGCCGAGTGAATCAAAACCACGTTCAGCATGAAATAGCAAAGCACAGAAGGGTTGAGACTTCAAACTCAAGATGTAAGCATTGTTTTGCATTTCATAATCGTCATGCTGATTGAACGGACACTGAAAACTGACCTCTACCAACTACACTGACTAATTAGCACTTACTTGGTTATAGCACTTGGGATGTTTGTTGTTCTGGTTTTGTGCCCTCTGGATGGAACAAGTCGCTTCGGATAAAAGCGTCAGCTAAATGGCAAATGTAAATGTGAACATAT